GCAACTTGTAAATATTTTCATTAAGTGTTTTGAGATACCATATTAACTTTTTTTATATTGTACTGGAATGTTCCAGTAAACTGATTTATGAAGTTTGAGGTAGGTGGCTGATAGAAGATTAGGAATAATTAATAGAAAATGCCCATCCATTACTTCTCTCCCTCTCCTCACTGTCTACATGTGAACAGATTCGGGAACATGGTTGCTTGCTTTCGGTATGCATCAATAGATGTTCTTTCTGTCTACCTTCCACCAGCAGAACTTGATTTTGACTTCGAGAATCAGGAGTGGATACAAAAAGAATTAGATGAGGTACACAGATGATAGTCTTGGTTTCATTAAGATCTCTGTTAGATTTTCACAGCATTAGTTTTTTAATTATCTGATTGTAAACAGGTGGCTCACCGGGCTGAAATTATATTTTCTGAAGTCCTCAATGCTCTAAGTCAAATTTCAGAGAAAAAGTTAAGCAAAGAGGCACTTATTAACACCATTAAGGTACATGAACAAAGACACCAAATTATTGAACTAGAAGGGATGTTGAAAAAGGAGAAGGCAGAGTTTGAGGTAAGGCCACTTTTGTGTGGTATACTTTTGGTAACAGGATAAGTTTTGTGTGGTATATTTTCTAGCATTAGTGCAACTGATTCCTGTCTTCCTATGGTGAGGGCATTTTGTGGATCATATAACCTGAGTGAACATTCATACATGTGCATCAGGCACTTGATAGGAATCAGTCGAACATTCTGCCTTCTTATTGTATGGAGTGATCAATAACAAGGCTAAAACATATTAGCATTTTTAAATTTTGTGGACAATAATCTTCTATATATATGGCCACAAACAAATTCCTCTTCTTTTTATAAGAGGGGATTTATTCAAACCAATGCAAGAATTTTTAATTGTTACACTACTGTAGATCTTTGTGCAGTTTACATTTGATAAAATCAACAGTTGGATTTAAACTACTATTCAATCTTGCATGCCCTATTTTCAAGCAAGTTGACTTTGACTGTATCATCAATGTCATAAGGTTTTCAACCATTAAATGTATATTATTAAAAATATTTTCACTCATTGGTCTGTTTTTAGAATTTGATCAAATTTAATTAGCATGATATCATGATTAGATTGTTAGGTCCAACATCTGTGGTGGAGTGTATACAGCTGAGTAGGTTACATTAGAGCAAATGGATTTGTACTCTCTTTTTCTTTTTTCTTTTTTTCTTTGGGTGGGGAGATGCTGATGTTGATTTCTTGTTATTTCTTCAATCAGTATTCTTCTTGCAAAATCACATAATACGACGCGATTTTTTGGATAGGACTGTATAAGAGTTTCAAAAGGTTTTTGAAGCTATGTAATTGAAAATAAAATGTCAATTGTTGCTGCTAAGTTTCCAGTTTCTGATAGTTCTTCATGTTGCTTTAGGAATCCTTGCAGAGGACATTGAAGAGAGAAGCAAGGAAAGGGCAACCTCTTATTGACATTCTTGAGATTAATCGACTACGGAGGCAGTTACTTTTCCAAATTTATATGTGGGACCACCGCCTGATTTATGCTGCCAATTTAGATAACAACAGCCTTCGGGATGGTTTGTGCAGTGAAATTTCAGAATACGAGGAGAAACCCTTAACAAATTGTGATAAAGTCAAAGAGATAAATATGGAAGCAGAGCCTGGAAAGGGCTCTGACTCTGTTGTTGTGGATGCAAGGCTTTATGAGAGTTCAGATCACAAAGGAGAATTTGATGGTGGCACTAACCAGTCTGATGCAATTCAGCAAGAATCAGCCACGAGTGAAGATTCAAGTGGAAATGAAGACCCAGGTAATCTTTCTGAGAGCAGTAGCTTGTTTGATAAATCTGAACATGTAGAAACTGGGGAAAATATTCGTCGAGTCCTGTCAGAGGGCCAGTTTCCTGTCATGGCTAATTTGTCAGATACCCTTGATGCTGCATGGATAGGTGAAAACCATCAAGCAACAAAAATATCAAAGAACAATTCCTGTTCACTTTCTGATTCTGCTGTAGCAGACCCTCCTTCAGTAACTGCAGTGACAGAGGGGTTAGAGTTGGAAGACCATGCTGGACATCAAAATAGGCTCAATGTCATGCATTCTATTTCGCCTTCACTGTCAACAAAAACCTCTGAGAATTTGGAAGATTCTGTAGGATGGTTAAAAGTACCCTTTTTAAGCTTCTATCGTTCATTGAATAAAAATTTTTTAACTAGTGATGAAAAGCTACACACATTAAGTGAATATCATCCCATCCACCTCTCATCATTCCACGAACTGGAATTGCAAGGTGGGCCTAGGCTGCTTCTGCCAGTGGGTGTCAATGACACTGTCATTCCAGTTTATGATGATGAACCTACAAGTATTATCTCTTATGCTTTGGCATCACCTAAATATCATCTCCAGATAAATGATGATGGAGAAAAACCCAAGGACAGTGTGGATTTAATAGCCTCATTACCTCTATTTGAGTCAGTGAATTATCAGTCATTTAATTCTGTGGATGAGACAACTCTTGATTCTTACAGAAGTTGTGGGTCAACAGATGACAGCATTTTATCAATGTCTGGATCCTGTAGCTCCCTAATGTTGGATTCACTCTCCTATACTAAGGCTTTGCATCCCAGGGTTTCTTTTGAAGATGATGGTCCCGTTGGTAAGGTGAAATATTCTGTGACTTGCTACCATGCAAAATGGTTTGAATCACTGAGGAGGATTTGTTGCCCATCAAAGCTTGATTTTATAAGGTCCCTTAGTCGTTGCAAGAAGTGGGGAGCTCAGGGTGGCAAGAGCAATGTTTTCTTTGCAAAAACCTTGGATGATCGGTTTATAATTAAACAAGTTACAAAGACAGAATTGGAATCATTTATGAAATTTGCGCCTGGATATTTCAAGTATTTATCTGAATCAATTGGAGAGGGAGGTCCAACATGCCTGGCAAAGATTCTTGGCATTTATCAGGTGCTAAATCTCAGAACCAGTTATATTAACTTGAAAACATGCTAGTTTTAGTTAGAATTTGAAGCTATAATCTTTATCATTTTAATTCATCATTGACTCTCAGAACAATCAATTTGTAAAGTTTTCATTGCTAATTCTCTGCACCTGATACATTGCTTCAATTATTGCCCTTAAGCTCCTAGATTACTGCTTGTTTTTAGCATATTCCTCAGATGTTAGGCAGTTTTGCATAAACTAAATGATCGTTATATATCCTTGTAGCCTATGTTCTTGAGTTGAATGATATAAGAGAATATATAGCTTAGAGATGCAAAATTATGAAGTCTTTCAATTTGTGATGTGATAACAAATGAGGCTCTCCTACCATTGCCACTTAGGATATCCCAGATAGTTGGGCCTTGCCAGCTAAGTTTGGTGTTAGCTAAGAAGTCGGTTTTCAACATTGTTACTTCCTTGGAGAAGAGCTGCATATTTGCTTGAGAAAACTTGTTTACTGCTTTTGGTGAATTGTTTCGATCCTTTGTCTGTTTATACATCTATTAACACTAGTGAATTCCCTAAATAGTTTTGTATGAGGATGGAGAAAGACTGAGAAGAAGTAACAAGTGATGAAGCTAGCTCTAAAGAAACTGCATAAATCTTCTGTGATAGACATGCCAATTTGTTTTCAGTTTTTGGTACTAGTTTCTGATCTGAATGTAAATTAGAAAGGGAAAAGAAATGGTTCTTCCTCTCTTTTTATGGTTTTACAGATGGTGGTAAGAAGTTTGTTCAACTCGCCACATTCTATTTTTGGAACTTAATTCTTGGTTGATGGCTTTTTTGTTGAAGGTTACTGCAAAGCATTTTAAAGGTGGGAAGGAATCTAGGATGGATGTTCTAGTAATGGAGAATCTTCTATTCAGAAGGACTGTCACACGGCTATATGATCTCAAAGGATCTTCTAGATCCCGGTATAATCCAGATTCCAGTGGGAGCAATAAGGTTCTTCTGGATCAGAACTTGATTGAAGCAATGCCAACTTCCCCTATTTTTGTCAGTAACAAAGCAAAGCGGTTGTTGGAAAGAGCAGTCTGGAACGACACTTCTTTTCTTGCAGTAAGTGTGTGTGTGTGCCTCTGTGTGTGTGTGCCTCTGTGTGTGTAGGAAAACAGGTGGATTGATAGGGGTTGAGGGTGTGAGAAGATGGATGTCTGTCTATCTGTTTACATTGCCTCATAGTGCACATTTTTAGTGCAGTCATGTCTATCTGTTGACAATCACACATAATGCACAGTAGTAGAGACCGAATTAACAGTCTGTTGCCCAATCTTAGTCACTTCTTCATATTTAACCTGTTTATGCAGTCAATCGACGTAGTGGATTACTCATTACTGGTTGGAGTGGATGAAGAGAAGCATCAGCTGGTACTTGGAATCATTGATTTCATGAGGCAGTACACCTGGGACAAGCATCTTGAAACATGGGTGAAGGCCTCAGGCATCCTTGGCGGACCAAAGAATGCATCACCTACAGTAATTTCAGCAAAACAATACAAGAAAAGGTTCAGGAAAGCGATGAGTACGTATTTCTTAATGGTTCCAGATGACTGGTCTCCTGCCCTGAAGCCATTCAGCATATCTCAGTCAGAATGTGAAGATACAGCACAAGAAGGAGCCTCAGTTGAATGATACTGTGAGTCAGTCATTGTACATTAACATATATAATTCATTTTCATTTTGATCTTCATTTTTTCAATTCTTTTGGAGAGAAAAATTTTCTTTTCTAAAACAAAATAATAATAATAATAATAATAATAGAGGGGTGGAGAAATTCATTATCATTCTTTAGGAGTTGCAAAACAAGGCTCTGAAAGCCATGGAAATTTCTGTCAGAGGTTCAATATTTGATGACCTCTCTGCGAAATTTTGTACAAAATATTTATTAATATATTTAGTATTTCTTGATTTATAAATATTTTTTTTTGAATTTTTTTCGTGCATAAAAAATTGTCATGTTAATCCTTGAAGTCTTTTCTTCTTTCCCTCTTCAGAATATGCTTCTGAATTTTCCATATCTTTTGGTTGTTACTGTTTGTTTTTTTTTACATCTATTTTGGAAAATATCTGATTAGAGAAAACTAGAATAAATAAATGAAAAAAATATGAAAAATATCTTTCTCTTTCTTTTCTTTTCTTTTCTTTTCTTTTTTATTATTTGTATGATAATGGTTATGTAACATCATATGTCAGCGTTTGTAACCCATGCTAACTCCACCTAGTGTAGAATAATAAACAGGAAATTTGTTCATAGCATTGCAAATTGAGAAATAAAAACAAATTTCTTCATCCTATTTTCCTGTTGTTTTCCATTGTTAATTCAATCTTTCACTAGACTGCTTTTTTTTTTTTTTTTAATTTGTGGATTACACAATAAGAAATAATCATTTTCCTTATCCACTACGCAAAAATTCTATATAAATATTTGATATTACCATCAAAAGATTTTATCATTTTAAATACGACAACCTAAGTAACTCTTACCAACTCTACTAGTTGGCATCTTGGATCCTTTTTATGATTAGGACCTTCATAGCCATTTTTTGAGAACATTAAACAAAGGATTTGCAACGGTAAAAATATAAATGGCTCGTTGTTCACCAACTTCATTGTTCTACTTCCTCACATCATTTTGGTTCATTCTCTCTTGTTAATTTGAGATCGAATGATAATATCTACATAGATGATAGAACTGCACAAACCCATTAATCATGGTAAATAAAGTTCCTTTACTATAATCCTTGACAAATTTTTTGTTACAATGGTCGGTCAGGTAGTGTTCAGAACCAACTAAAGAATGTACAAGAAATTACCTCGTATTTGCCATTGATCATTTCCTCTTTAAATTTTCATTCATTTTCACATGGATAAAGGAACAAGGCAATGCAGTTCATGCAAAAGTTGAATAAGAAGCTGAATTGTTGATCTTCCAAATTGCAGAAAAGGGAGTGCTTTTATGCAAATCTGCCTACCATACACAACATGTTAATAACTGAAACTAGTGTTCTTTCTTTCACAGGCTGCAGAACAAATTATTTCAGGGAAATTTACAAAAGAGTTCCCAGATAGGGGAGTGCGTGCTCCTATATCGAGGATCCACCCCTATCAGATGGTTAGTTTTGTGCGGCAGAGGCTGCACAAAACATTTCTGTTTAGAATCCTGATAGGATGCAGGCTTCCTTTACTAGAACTTGTTGAAGTCATTCCATTTGAAGTCAGCAATTACACCTTTACTAGCATTGTTGAATGCATCACCATTTATAACCTGAAGCCATCTGAGTAGGAAAAGATCAAAGATCTCAGCATCCCTGGAAAGGATTCAACCACATTGGCCTAAAATACATTAATCCAGGCAGGACAGAACAAGAATAGCTTCTAACAGGAGATTTTTTTTTTTATTTTTTATTTTACCTTAGATGATACGTAGGTCTCTGAATCTGGTTATGGAAACGAGGACCCTCATCGTATCCTTCACAGACAATCTCCCCACTTTCATCTCTGTAACAGATTACCCCTTCAGATCGATCCTCGAAAACCTGGTAAGAGACGGACAAAGTTTCAGGAGTTCATGCTTTTTCCACCAACCTGTTTCCTTAATCTTTTGGCTACAATATTGATGAATGAAACATGAAAGATAAGCACAGAAAAAGAAAGTTAACCTTGTTTTTGAAGGAGGATTTGATCTGAAGTTTGGGTGCTTTCTTCCCAGGAACCTGTTTGTGTCCAAGCATCATGATCCTGTTAGTATGCTTTATAACTGGACTGAAATTCTCAACTGGAACCTGAGGACCGAGAGAGCGAATTACAGATATTGATCCCATGGTATAGGAAGAAGAAGAACAAGAAGAAGAGGGTTTGCTTTTTTGGAGGGGATGTAATTGAAAGAATTGAAAATAGATAGGACAAAGGTTTGGTCAGATGTAATTACGTGTGGTGATTAAAAACTAATTATTCTGCTAAGTGCCTTAAGTATAATGATTTTGGAGGTTAATGTCTTATCACGGTCGTTAACTTGGGGTGTCTCACATAGGCATGTAGGTCCCAAATTCCTTATCTTCTTCCTATTGCTGCTGCCTGCTGGTGTCATTGTGGCTGCATCTTTTCCTTTACTTCTAATCAATCTTTGATGGATATTTATGCATCTTACATGGTGGCATCCCTTTTTCTTTTTCCCCATAATTCTTATTCGTGGCCAATTGTGCTTTGGTCTAGTGATAGATCTGGTAAGATCCTCAAACATCTATGTTTCACCATCTAAGTAGATAGGTAAGATTCGCAATGTATCACTTTTCTTGGTTGTTGTGTAATTCAAGTATATAGCCAAATATATAACTTTCTGTATGCATGAACTTACTATGTTCTTTTTCATAAATTGTAATTCAAGTATATAGTTTGGTACATAGGCCATCGATATTTGAAAAAAGAAACAATGTATTTTTAAAGTTAGTTTCTCATCTATAAAGAATAAAATTATGTTACTGTAAGTATAATAAGCAATTAAAGTGAAGAATAAATAATATTTAATTTCATAGACAAATTTAAATATATAATAAATGTTTATTAGTCTCCTTTCTTTCATTTATAAAGAATGAAAATCATTTTTTTTCCTATTTCTTTTTCTTCATTTTCCTCTATGCAAATATAGAATTAATTAAGTTTGAAGGCCAAAAATATATACATATATATATGGGATAAAGTTTCTTATAAACGTTTTGAAGTTTTTATATTTGTGGTGGCTCTTCTAATCTACTAAAAGATGGATGATACTAGAACTGTGTTTGGTTGCAGCCTTTCATTTAAACCCCACTTTTTCAAGAAATTTATCTTCTATCTAAAGCTTTTTGCCTCATGGTACAATAACAGAACTTGAATGCCCCAAAACAGTCAACTTATCAGCACACATGTTGGCTTTTTTGAAAACGTAGTGCAATTGAATCTGAGGGATTTTGGCAAGAATCTCCCTGCAATCTAAAATTAGTGAAAACAAAGGCTGATTAACCAAACTAGCTTGGTGAACTGAACATTCAACCAGTGATTCGGGCAGGCACGCAGGCACGCAGGCAACAGTTTCTAGAGACAGCAACTTCCTCTGGAAGGCTGCAACCAAAAACAACATAGAGCTCAGTTAATTTGTTTCGCTGTCTATTGTTCATCACCTATACTACTAATTATTTCTTAACAAATTAGATTATAATTTTCCAAGTATGGTGAAAATGACAAATTGGGCGTTATTGGGGAGAAATGTTCAACTAATAAATAATTTCAAGAACTATGCATTTTATTAAATTTAATCCTAAATTTTTTATAATATATCGAAGTAAACTTAATTCTAAATAAGATGAAATGTATTTAATTCGATAAATTTTATTAGTTAATAATTTTTTTTTCTTAAATGGGCTGATGAAAGTATTTAGAAACATGTTAGCTAACAATTATAAACTATGATTAACTATTATTCTTAAAAATTAAACCAAATATAATCATGATTACTACCACTGTATTGCTTAGACATTTATGCACCAATCAAATGACATTTTTTTTTTGGGTGTCATAAAAGCAACACGTATTCAGGCAAAAAAAATGAAAGGAAAAAAATCTTAGTTGGTACCCAGTCAGAGTCAATCACCTTAATTTGCAAAGGCGACCCTTCATAGATTCAAGAGCTCCAAATGTTCATGTTTCTCCAAAGAAATACGTCATTTTTTAGGATGACAATGCATAAATTTGAGTAGAAATTTTACCCTAAAGTTTTTATATTTAGATTATATTTATTAATTTTTTATTTTTTATAATTATTTTATGCATAATTCAATCATTTTATAAAAACTATACTCAAATAGTATCTAAACAAAAGTGAGTGTTAAATCAAATGAACTCTAAATTCATTCTAGGTAATGCCATTGAACCATCTCAACCCCAACAAAATGTCACCAATTTAGCCATTTAAGTCCACGAAATGTTCACTATTTGATATTTGCTTTTGTTTCCTCTGCACAAACAATGGAATGTGAAGTAATCATTTTAACTTTTGAGGAAATAAAAGTACAAGAAAACTTCTTCCAATTTAACCCATACTTTCTACAAATGTGATTTCTCATGCAGCTTTCTGTAACTTCCAAAGCATTTTTCTTTAATCCTTGGTTACCTTTTTCAAGCTTTGGTGGACATTTTCGAAGTTTGCTTTGAGAAGAAAAGAGGATCATGTCATGGCGACGTGGGCAGAGAAGCCTAAACTGGATGATGAACCCATATATGCTTCAATTTTTTATCAGCCTATACTTGGGCTCCGGCTTTTGGTTACCAACCCTTAACATGGGCCTAGCCAGCCTGTAATAATCAAAGTAGGAGAACATCTCATGATAAGAAAAATTAAACTTACAAGAATTTAGTTAAATTAATATTTATTAATTAAAAAAAAAACTTAATTTGAGGTTGATTGTAATATATTTGCATGTTATGGTTGATACTAAACTCGTTAAAACGAGTGAATTCATATAGGAATTTCAAATAAAAAGAGTTAATTAATATAAGGTTAAACCCTAATTTGGTTCCTAACTATTATACAGACTCTTGATTTGGTTTTTGAACTAAAAAAATCTTTGATTTGATTTTTGAACTAAAAAAATCTTTGATTTGGTTCCTAAATTATTGTATAAACCCTCAATTTGGTCTTTATTGTTTATTAATTTATCTCAAGTTGGTCATTCCGTACAAAAAACAATTGACAGTTTATTAACGGTAAAAAACAGTAATTTAACGACCATGTGTCATATTAATAACAAGACACATCAGTTAGTTTTTGTACGGAAAAACCAACTTAGGATAAATTGGTAAACAGTAGGGATCAAGTCAAGGGTCCATTACAATAGTTTATGAACCAAATTAGAGATTTTTTTAGTTCAGGAATCAAATCTGAAGTCCATGTAATAGTTTAAGGATCAAATTGAAGATTTAACCTTAGTATAATGGTAGGTTATAATTATAGCATAACAGATTGAGAAAGTTTTAGGCTTTTAGCTTGAATCATTCACTTCATTGGCTGATACTGAATCCAAGTTCATTAAAGTTACAGATTGCTACTTGGCAAAAGAATAATGTTAATAAAAGCAGGGCCTATCCATGTCATCCTCCTATGCAACACCTGATTAATTTGAACAGCTATATATTCACACATAAAGAGGAGATCAAAAGAATCAAAACCCCTCCGAAACCTTTTTGCTTGGCGCGGGTAAACACAAAAGCAGATCAAACCCAATAGCAAGTTCCCCAAAAGAATACAAAAACCAAATAAACAATCTGACCCCGTCAATTGTTTTTGTCATTTCTCTATTATAAAGCCAGGATTCATGACATGAGTCATGGACTTCTTTTCACCTCCCAAGGCCCTCCCCCCCTAACTCTTCTTTTCACGGGGTACTGTTTCGTCTCCTAGCTCCATCTAACTATAGGGGAGAGAGCAGAGCTTCTTGATTGCTTTCTGGGATACCCATGTGGCTCATTGTTCATCAGTGTTTTCAATCATGTTCTTTATAGTCAAAGTCTTTTTCCTTGTTTACATACATTGTTCAATATGATGGTGCTGATGGGTAGAAGGACAGTAATTAATTTCTAGGGAGATTCCTGTGCATTGTCTCGGAAAAAATGGATCTTGCAAGCTCTAAATACATTCAAGCTTCGTCTTTGTTTCCATATAATGGGGTAATGAAGGTGATTTTTGAATTGGGTTTTTGGATTTTTACGTGAGTGTTGGGTTGTGTTGTTTTAATTTGGGTGTTTTGGTGTTGTGATTCAGGAACCGGCATTGCAGACGAGCACCAGCATTTATGGGAATAGCAAAGGGAACCCTTTTGAGGAAGCTTTTCCAGACCCACTGTGCAAGCTCAATCTCAAAGAAACGTCTGAATTTGTAAAGTCGTTTCCAATGGCAGCCACGGAAAGCAGAGGAGGGTTTCTTTCAGCGCAGAGAAGGAGAGAGGGAGCGAACTCAGTCACCATAACACAACGGAGGGTAGCTGAAGCGCCTTCCACACCTGGGCGACCGGTTTTCAGCTTCAGTGGTGGCAGCCTCGCCAGAAAGAGTATTCCGTCCAAATGGGACAATGCTGAGAAGTGGTTAATGAACAGTTCCGGCCATGACTCTCCGGCACACACCATAAAACCTCCGGAGTCTTCAAAGATGACTAAACAGATGACGTTTTTTGCGGAGAAATCAAGGGTCGTAGAGCAAGAAGTCCCAAAGCTCGTTTCAAGCATTCAAGGGTGTGTGTCTTTAAACCACCATAATTCAGCAAGAGGACATTTTGATGCAGTTTCTGCTTCCAGTGATGTCCTTCTAAAAGGTAAGGATGTTAATCTAAATTCATTTCAGCTTTTGTGAAAATTTTTTACTTTTGATCTCTTTAGCTTTTTACTTCTGAAACAGCTACTGCTTTTTTGCTTTACTGTGATCTGAATAATAGTCCCTTCCCTTCTTTGTCCTTTGAATGCTTAATGGTAGGAATTTATTCTATTTTCTTATATGATTTAGGCAAATGGCCTGTACTCTTCTTTTTCCTTCATTTCCTCAGGAACCAAACAAGATTGATTCCTGATCATGATGGATTTTTTGTTCATTTTCTATTGATTACAATTGGACTTGGTGTAAAACTTGGGTTGCATGGAACAACTCTTACTTGGTTTGTTAAACAATGTAGATAAGTTCACGGATGAGGTAGGACCGGTTTTCCCAAATTTGAGATACTTGGAGCCCTCAAAAGAAGGGTTTCTTTTCCGAAACTCAGCCTGTGAAACCATGAAGGATGCAGGCACTGACGTATTCCATGAGGTTAAACATAGAGATTTTGGGACAGAGATGACTCCTCTTGGGAGTTCCACAACTTCCAGATGCCACACACCATTCAAGAGCCCATCACCTGCACGACATAATACACCAGACAATAGGTCTGGTCCATTGGTCTCAGAGAATTCCAACATCTCCAACACCACAATTGACATTGCTCAGCTGCAAGAGTTTCATTTAGCTAAGCTGCAACTGAGGACCCAATACGACTCTGTCGCATCAAATTGGAGCTCAAGGGAAGAGGAAGAAGAGGAAATATCAAAAAGCCTTAGGCATTTTGAAATAGGCACTGCCATCCGGAAAAGTATATCTGATTCTAGAGCTGCAGCTTGGGAGGAAGAGGAAAAAACTAAGTGCTGCCTAAGGTAACCATGTGTTCAATCTTCAGCATTCTCAATGTTTAAAAGGTTAGTGTAACATAATATATATCAATATTGATTATGGTTTGCACCACAGGTACCAGAGAGAAGAGGCAAAAATTCAAGCTTGGGTAAACCTCCAAAGTGCAAAAGCAGAAGCTCAATCAAGAAAGCTTGAGGTACAATTCCATCTTATTCAATCCTTATCTTGAGTTCAAATTTCTTCGGCTTTAATGTCCCAACCACTACACAACCATTTTCCACAAAATTTCAATCAGTGAATTATTATTTCCTACCGTAAACTTAGTTCTGATTTTAGCCATGTGGCGAAACCTGATATTTGTCTCTTGTCAGTGAAATTGAATATGAGTACACCTAATTATCAGTATATATGAATATGACATTGTACGTATTATAAAAATGCTTAAAATATGAGAGTCAAGACTCATAAACAATATTCTCAACTATATATATATATAAACATATTTAAAAGGTCATATTCTCTATTTACATTTTGTAAATTATTTTTTTCATAGTTATAATCCTTTATAATTTTCACTCTCGTCAATGCTTTTTATAAATTAAAAATTATAAAAAATTCAAGTTATCAATAAAATTAAGGTACAAATAGATAATTTGATAACTAATTTTTAAGTTTTTTACAAGTGTTAAATTATAAAGAATATTGATTAGATGTAAAAATTTTTAAAAGTGTTAGATGTAAAAAAAAAAAAAATGTAGGGGTTTAGCATACCTAAGAACAGTCATCCATATCTATTAAAATTGGATATGTTTAACTATAGTTTTGAAAGAGACTTCCAAACTTGTTCAGGCTTTGTGGTCCTAATCCCTACTCGAGAGCCACCCCACTACCCTAAGACGCCCTTCGCCTTTTCTTCACTGGTCCACCTGTACTGTCCTCTAGTACTTCTAATAATTCTATATTGATATTATCTACATCCTTTACTCATAAAGAAGTGGGAAGAATGCTAAAAGTCTTTATGTTCCTATTTCTATACTCCTAATGTTAATCTGTAAAATCATGTGAAGATCTTAGCTAGCATATAGAAATCCGTGGGGAATTGAAATATTCACTTTCAACTTGAAGTTCCCATGCATGCTTGAATAAAATAATGTTTTTGGTCTAATTATTGAAATGTTGCTCTGTTTTTTCCACTTCTGTAAGAATGTGCAGCCATCTTTATTGTTTTCTGTTACTGTCACGATGCACTGAGATTAGGTCCTCTGTCACTCCAATTTTAATTGTATTCTGAGGTGAACCTTTCAGATGAAAGTACAGAAAATGAGATCTAACTTTGAAGAGAAGTTAATGAAGAGGATGGCAATTGTTCATAGAAAAGCCGAGGAGTGGAGGGCTACGGCGTTGCAACAACACGCGGAGCAAATTCAGAGGGCAGCAGACCAAGCACAGAGGATGAACCGACCCAGCTCGCAGATTTCCGGTCATGGCTTATGTGGTTGTTTCCCTTGCAATAACAGTTGCTAATGTACAAACAGAATGATGTGTTTTCTCCATCCATTGTCCATGTTTCGTGGTTATAAGAGAACTCAATATTACATGTGTTTTTTTTCGTAAATAAAGAAGTTCACTCCAAGAAAAAAAGAAACAACATCAGGCGTCTAACGAAGAGAACCTCGTAGACATTAGCCATAAAAAAATAAGCAGCAGAAAAATAACTTGATATTGCATGTTTTTTGGTGTTAAGAAACTCAATTCAATCAATAACAGGAAGAGGAGAATACCGGAATAGTGTAGGCACCAGAGGATAGCGCCATATTCGTATAAAAAAGGTGATATGCATTACGCATTACAAAACATGAATCGTTGGATTACAAAACATGGACCATCGGATAAGAGAAAGGTGGAGGAGCTCTTGAATGCAAGGGTGGGCTCTGAATCTGATGGTTAGAGCCTTGGACTGTATCCGTATTTGCCTATTATGTGGAGACCTAGTGAATGGCTAGCCACAGGCATTGTCATCTTTTTGTTCTTGTATCACATCGAGGGCACAAAAGCTGTTTCGATATCAGAAGATGAATACCCCGAAAATTTATCGGAGAAAACCAACAAACATCTAGTTTTTCCTCCATGCCATGCGGAAGCAGAAAAAAAGAATCGTAAAAGCAGCCGTAGCTTGCCTTTTTTCTCATCAGCTACAGTTTTAGTCGGTTGGTTGTCAGCAACCTGTATTGTTTTGGACTTTCTTTGCTTCATTCACTGTCAAAGTATCTCAGTAGATGATATTGCTTTGTCTCGGTGATGAACCTGCCATTAAAAGTACTGCTTTTGATTCTGCTGGATTCTGCTTCCACTTGCGTTTGAATTGTACTGACTATCCATACAATTTCACATCAATTATTCACTTATGAGTTTCCCCAGTTTTACCATCCAGATTATATCATATTATAAAATCAAGAACATAATATGAAAAAGAGCACACATGCATTTTATGGTTGATTTTGTATAGTTTGAACTGTACAAAACATTTATGCTCACCTGTTTTTTTTCTTTGAATTTTTTTTTTTTACAATTTAAATTATATCATACTGCAAAATAAAGATTTAAAAATGAAAAGTGAACCCCTGCACTAAACAGTCCGGACTGCAAAAAATTCTTTATTCTTTGAATTAGATTTTGGGGGAGCTTGAAGCATGGTCAAATTGGGTGGACCATCTAAAGCTGAATTACTCAGGCTTAGGCCCTGTTTTTAGCCCATTAACATTTCTAATTCTCGGCCCAATAATTCTAAACCCAAACGCCACCATTTCACACTTCCTAACTTGTCTTGCTTTACACGAAGCCTTCTACAAAGGAAGGCAACTGAGTTCAAGAGCTGCTCGCATTTTCTTCTCTCTCGTCTTCACTCCTTCCCGAAGTGATTCTCTTTCTCCGTCTCGCATTCTGATTTTCTTCTTAATTTTCCCATATTCAGAATCCCATTTTCATGGATTTCAGTTCTTTTCTGGGACTGATGTTTCTCTGTTTTTTTTGTTTCAGGTATTAGGTTTTTAGATCTAATAATCTATTCGATATGTTTCTCACCAGGTACCCATCTAGAATCTTCACTTTCACAGTTCAATCTTGCTAATTTTTATGATATTCTGAATCCGTGTGCTTTTCTGGTGATGGGTTTGTTCAGGACTGAGTATGACCGAGGTGTCAATACTTTCTCGCCGGAGGGGAGATTGTTTCAGGTGGAGTATGCAATTGAAGCCATCAAGGTAGATTGTCAAACCCCAGAATCCTTTGTGTTTGTTTCCATGGAAATCATTACCCAATTTTTTTCAGGAAAAGGGTTTCCTTTGAGTTTGACTGTGGTCAAGTTCTTGTCTTTGTGTAAATTGTGGGGGATTTTCTTTGGAGATTTAATGCATATGGGTTTTTGAATGAATTGCAACAGCTGGGTTCAACTGCTATTGGGATCAAGACTAAAGAAGGCGTTGTGTTAGCTGTTGAGAAGCGAATCACTTCTCCACTGTTGGTATGTCTTTGGTTCCAAATATTTTACAGGTTTATGTAAACAACCACACACCAGATGTATATGATGAAACAGCTTACCTTACTGATAAAGCTTAAAAGTAGAGGTTCTTTGTCCATTCATTCTATTCACTTGTTTCCGACCTTGTTTTCTTGACTTACCACATGGTAAAATCCCATATTATTTATTTTTCAACTTTAATTAAAGGCTTCTGAACTTAGAGCCACATGCTACACAAATGACCACATTAAAATTGAGGAGCAGCATCTATCACATATTTTGGTATTCTTAGCTGTAGGGGTTGCTGGTTGCTTTTTCATCCGGGCATCATTTCTTCTGAATTCTCTTTCAGGAGCCCAGCAGTGTGGAGAAAATTATGGAAATTGATGAGCATATAGGATGCGCTATGAGTGGATTGATTGCTGATGCACGTACGCTTGTTGAACATGCAAGAGTTGAAACTCAGGTACTATCATTGTTTCTTGTAACTTCAGTTGATGTTTGACACATTATGCAACTGATATTTTCAATTTCATTAATGCAGAACCACAGATTCTCATATGGAGAACCAATGACAGTGGAGTCTACAACACAAGCACTTTGTGATTTAGCCCTTCGATTTGGTGAAGGAGATGAAGAGTCAATGGTAACTATTGCTTTTCTTTTCAATTTTTGGCTATTATATTTTCTTTAGCCATGCTTTTTCATGCAAAAGGTTCAGATATTTTTAATGGGATTGATTTCTTATTTGTGATGCTCTCAACCATATGAGAATTGCAGTTACAATCTAAATTGCAGTTATCTTTGTTATAATATCTCCTTAATAGTTAATAGTGTGCATTCTACCATGTTAAGTGTATTCATTAAAATCCTAAATTTCTCTCAGTTTTAGCATATTCTATTGATGCTTCAAATTCTCAAACACAAGAATGATGCCATGACAATGTTATGGAGAACTTATATTTTGAAGTTAATACAAGACAGTGGCCACTGACCAGTCATCAGCAGTATTTGATAAGGAAGGCTATGCAAGAACTTAACTGAGTCTTATTCACAAACTGCAAGGGCAGTTGGACATATGATCCTATGGTTTATAAAATTTTATTATAATCAAACCTAGGAGATTCTAAGTGTACTTTAGCATTTGAAAGAGCATGAAATTGTGAGGTTGCTCCTTGGGATGCTATTAATGCAATGTTTATGGTCTTCACAAAATCATTTTAATTAAGTTGTAAGGGTGGTACCAGTTCTCCAGATTATTTTAGTTTCAAATTTATTAGTAGGTTTGATAGATGGGTTGGCATCCTTTATAATTGCATCTTAATTTATTTATATGTTAATATTTTGCTCTTTTGAAAAGCTTGTTTATGGTAATGTTTTGTTTTGTTTGCAGTCTCGACCGTTTGGGGTTTCTCTTCTCATTGCTGGTCATGATGAGCATGGACCCAGCTTGTAAGTAGCAGTTTCAGTAAATGTAATTCTTTTAGCTTGCCATGGATAATTTCTTAGATAATTTTTTAAGCCTGTGTTTGACACTGTTTACTAATGTACTATTAGCTTTTATTTGTTGATTCCTGACCTATCAATGTATGAATGAGAACCTAATATGCTTCTTTGCAATGGTTATGCATTGGGCAGTGAGCAAATAATTATCATTATCATGTTTTTATGGGAACCATCTTGCCTGAATTAGGTAGATGATTTAATCTTCTTGACTTTACCACTTCTATGGTATGTGGATACTGCATTTTCTTCTTCTCTGCTATTGGGGTAGCACTAGGATAGCTGGATTGCATTTGTCATAGATATGCATCAATGTTGCACAAAGCATTACACCTATAGTTAAAGGTACATGCAGACACTACACGGATCCTTCTGGCACATTTCCCAATGTATATTCCACTTACGTGTTGAAAACCACTGTAATGCAGATACTACACGGATCCTTCTGGCACATTTTGGCAATGCAATGCAAAAGCTATTGGTTCAGGTTCAGAAGGTGCAGACAGCTCTTTGCAAGAGCAGTATAACAAGGTATCTTTACTTGTTTTGTGTGCTTTCCTGCAAGTTGTGAGCCATGGGCAGATTCGTCAACTTGAAAAGTTAATAATGCCAAGATGAGTGCTGCTGATGATTGGATCTTTTTGCTGCAGGAACTAACTCTACAAGAAGCCGAGACAATTGCTCTCTCCATTCTGAAGCAA